GTCACCTAACCAGGCCATCCTTCAATAAATAGGCAGTAAATGCATGTTGTCTAGTCAGTGTGCTATGTGCCATGGCAGAGATGAGAGGGAGAAGACCATCTTTGCCCTCTAAAAGGTCTTTGGAGAGAGAAGACATACATATGTGTAACTTCAAAAATCATAGTAACTGGCTGCTGTTTTCCGATCACTAGTATGATCCAACTGCAGGGCTAGACACTTTAGAGTTCATTCCCACAATTCCACAAAGTAGACTGTGTAATTCTCATTTTATATAAGAGGAGATCAAGGCCGAGAGGTGTTACATAAACTGCTCAAGATCAAACAGCAAATCCAAAGGCAGAACTGGGCTTCCAAATGGCAGTTTTCACTACACTAGGTAAAAACATGGGGTGACTCATTTGTGTTTGCTATCTCTCCCACCCTTTTACAAAAGATGTGGTCAAATAGGCACGCATATTCATAAATAAGATGCACACGTGTGCACACACAACATGAAACGGAATGACTGCAGCGTTCAGATTTTTCTCCACGCCCACTGAGTTTACAGTGACTCTTGGGTGACAGGGAACTGTCATCATCAAAAAAACAAGGTCTGGCGTTTTTGCAAAAGTGCTGAAAAAATTCCGTTTGAAAAACAAAGGCAAATTTTCCCCCCCGAAAATGTTGTTCTCCTGAATTATTCTTTATATCTGCAATTGCCTGAGCCACTTCCCAAACCAGGCGTGGATTTTTTCCTGACTAGGTGAAGTTTGCTCAGTCCCCAGGGCTGAAGATGTAGAAGGCAATGAGACAGTCCTCCATCTGAAAGCCTCACCTGGTCACTAAAACTCACTCCATATAGATGCTCAGATCCTAAAAGGCATCTAACAGCTCTGTCATTTTTCTGGAAAAATGAAGAGCATCGCTATGTATCAGAGAGTTGCTTTAAAAGTTTTTAACAGCCTTTCAACAATTTCAATGTTTTCATCTACAAAAGATGTTGGCATTTTTTCACTTTAGTTTTTGAAATCACTCAAAAATCATACCCCAAATGAAAAAGATCCTCCCTGTGCCCCTGACAAGATAAGAGCTATAGACAGCTTCATGGCCTGACATTATCATAAAGCAGGCAAAGCTGGACATCAGCTTCCTTTGTGTGCCCCCGACCCAGGAGTCTGGTTCTCCCGTGGTGCAGCAGGCTCTGGTCGCTGCTATTTCTCCTCTCCAATCGTCCCTACCTGTTCCTCGGTGCCTGAGTGTTGGTTCCCCATAGGCACAGACCTTCAGATCACACCAGGTGGGGCACTACCATAGATCGATTGGCTGCTGAAAAATCCATCTCTACAGGGTCCTCAAACTGAAACTAAAAGTGAAACCCTCTCGCATCACTGTGCCCGACAGCAGGGACACTTGTAGTTGGACACAGGGGGCTCTGGGGTTCCTCAGAGGACCTCTTTGTGCCCTCCCTATTCTGGCTATGCTTAAGGGGTCCAGCTATGAGGTGGCCTCCTTGGCCTTAAATGAAATATATTTGTTTCCAAGATGAAAATACTTGTATCATTGTTTTATTTTTTCTATGGTAAAATATATATGCTCACTGAAAATAATCAAATAAATACATTAGAAGTGAAAAAATATCAAAATTACCTCATTGTTGAGATTTTGACAT